TCCGAAACCTAATGGTTTTTCTCCAAGTACCTCATCGATACCTGCCCTTAATCTAGACGTTCATAAACCAGTTCACTTTCTCTGTCCCCCACCCACGCTGCTCCTCTCTCGTCTCTGTTTCTCTCGACGTGTACGTCTTCTCTCGCGTAAGCCATGCCGGCGCGCGCGCGAGCGCGCGCACGCGTGTGCGTGTGCGACACGTGCCCGTCCGTGAATCGCGGTGCGAAGCATGTTACGCGCCCGTGTGAATATAAACGCACGTTACAATTAAAAAAAGCAGGAAGGCGCACCGAGGGAGTGGAAGAGGGTTGGATGGCGCGTGCGAGAGAAAGTGCAACAAAATCGGAGGCCGATAAAACGCTAATGTCGGCGAATACGTTTCGCGGAAACGATCGTCGGACGGGAATCGAGAACGGTCGAAGGCAGATCTCTGGAGGATGGCGCGGGGCATCCCGTTAATCGCTGCCTAATTGTCCCTCCCATCGACAAATATAAATTTCTTTTTAAAGGCAAGTTGAAATTACGAAGACTCCGTCGACTCGCGAAAACCGATTTAAATTAAACTGTTTCGCCGCAGCGCCGCGCGTATATAAGTCCGTCCCTCCGTCCCTCTTTCCTCCCGTCGTCGCGAGTGTAACGTAGAAATCACTTTTGCGCGTTCACGGCGTCGAAATCCGAGAGCTCGCGCTGAAATATCGCCGGCATTTCAACCCCCTTCGCTTGTGCTCGCGCGCGTGCTCCCGTCTTTTTTTATTTAAATATCTCACCCCCCGTTGCCGCTCGCGCACAACAACGTGGTGAGCTTCTCTTTCAAGGTTCCCCGTGTCCGTCTTTTTCACGGTCCCCTCCCCCTCCTCCCCCGCCTGCCCCCGTGTCGTGCCTGGTCCCGCATCCCTGTCGCTGCAGCCACCCCGCGTGGGGCTTTCTCTTTCTCTCCACCGCGTCCCGGCAGCTCCTTGCCGTTCTACCCTTCTCTATGACGGCAGGTACTTTACCCTCCTACCCTCGAGCAACGACTACCTTTGCCTTCGAGCAAAGAGGGAAATGAAAGCGAAACTGTTCGACACCGCTGACTTTCCGCTCTCGCTATCCTGCTTCTTCTTCAGCTTTTTTTCGTTTGTCTTCTCTCCCCCCCCTCTCTCTCGCTCTCTCTCTGCCCTTTTCCCCCTTACCGCGTCTCCCTCTTTCGCCCTTTTACCCTCTATCGCTCTACATGCGCCACGTCTCTCTCCATCTCTCGCTCTCCTTCTTTCCCTATCCCTTTTCCTCTCTCTCGCACCCTTCCGTTACACTCGCCAGCCCTATTTCCCTCTCTGGCTTACACGCTCGCGCCTCCTTTCCTTCCTACCGCCGCGCGGCTGCCATCCTCCTTCCACCCTTCTAATTTTTCCACCCCTTTCACTAAAATTAAAATCAATAGTAGCACCACGTGCCCGGGGACTATGCCGGAAACATTGCTACCCTCATCAGTTGCTGCCTACGCAGACTCCAACAGGCATATTCCTACGTCGGCAGTTAATTTCTATTGATATCTCGTCAATAGAGAGAATTTTTTTTCCATTATAACCAGAGCGCGTCTAGCGCGCTTAACAATGTTGCAACATTGAGAGAAAACGAAGCGCATAATTAAAAAAGTACGTAATTAAAAATGAACACGAATGAGAGAGAGTGACAGAGATGTATAGATTTGATTGCAAAATACCAACCGTTAGACGAGACACAAAGCGAATAATTTATCTCAACGTTTTGTATATTTTTAATTTATCTAAAAAAAGGTGCCGAAGTATGTTTCTCGGATGTTACCGCCTCGTAAGTTGCGCTTGAAACTGCATGCGGGAAAAGATACGAGATATATTTTGTAGATTCACAAAACAACAACGTAACAGCAACAAAGTGGTGAAAATTAAACATGTAAACATAATTGAGAGCGTATGTATATGTATTTTTTTAATAAGCAGATTTGACAAGCGTAAGGACGCGTCGCGACGATCTCGTGAGACCGAAATAAATGCATATATATTTGGGGGATGCGCCACGTCAGACGCGTCGGCTGAGTAACAGGCACGGTTCGATCCACTGTTAAAGCATACAGGTGGTCGACTATGCTTCCATCATTCCTTCGTTGCGAGTAAAAATTTCTATCATGCACGTGCTAGCCGCCACGTTCACACGCATACACGTACACACGGGCACGTAAACGGTGTTTGCGTACGGAATTTTTTACACGTGCGCGAATAACAGAATAAAAATCTGACGCCTGCGGAATAAAAAGTTTTATTCAATAACGTTCGCGTTTGGCGTTAAGTGGTATTAACTCTTTGCTTTTCTAACAAATCTAGTAATATCGCGTTACACGAAATATTCTTTCTTTATTTCGCTCTACCGTTTTACAACTTTTATCGCTGTCGCTGTAATGAAGACAATTATCTGGAATTTCCACTTGGAGATTTTCTCACGTGCCAGTAGTTTTTGCATTTTCGGCTGAATTACAATTAATTGAGTCACACACGCGCAACCTTGTCGCCGAGGTGAAATTAGAGAGAAAACGGTAAACGCTGTCTCACTGAAATTAAAACGCATACGTGTATATGCATTAAAAAAAATCTCAATTTAACGTTATAAATGTTTGTTGAATGAGATTTGGAACTGGAAAATTATTTTTGCAAATGAGCCTCCGTGGTAATGTATTCTCCTAATATATTATACATAATACCGCTGACATCGTTCAGCGGAGCGTGACACGACGTTAAAATTCTGAAAATATACATTGTGTATTCGTTGTATACGAATTATAAATACGAGCCACGGCTGTTGCTCGCGAGACCCCCCGGCCGCGTACTCGATCTCCTTTTGCCTACGCCAAATCCACTTCTACGCCGAAAGACATCTCGCAGGAGGCACGGCACGGCATTCGTACCGTTACGGATACTGTCATAATTTAATGTAACCGGCGCGCGCGGTCACGACGGTGCCTCTCGCATAACGGAGCCATTCCTCCGGTCTCCTACCCCTTGGTATCCCAACCTCCCTGTATCCTATCCTGTCCCTCTATTCCCTTATGACCCCCTCGACAGCGCCGTCGGTCCCACTCTCTCCTCTCTCCGTCTCTGTCTTTCTCTTTTTCTCTTCCTCTCCCTTCCTCTCCCCCCCTCCCTCCCTCCCTCTCTCTCTCTCTCTCCCTCTCATCTCCCGCGTATTCGCGGGTTGCGAACGTACCGCCCTCACCGGTGCCCACAATGCGATGGTGGTATTGATTTAAAAGTACATTCGTGTTTTCATAATGCCGTATCTGTACCGACGTTCAAACTCACCCGTCTCTGCGCCACCCCCTCGCTCGCCACCCCCCCGACCCCCGTCCGCCTTCGATTCCCCGCAACCCCTGGCACGCCGCATACACAACCCGAGCATGGGTTGCAACGACGCTCCCATCAGCACGGAGACCAATCAGACTGCCCCCTGATTTCCAGTCATTCCACTCGACTATTCTCTCTTGTTCTCGCTCTGATCTATCCGTCCATCTAGCCGTTCACCGTCCGTCCGCGTATCCACCTTCCGCTTGCCTTCGTACCTTCTATTCCTGCTTCCCGTTCGCTCGCTCTCTCTCTCTCTCTCTCTCTCTCTCTCTCTCTCTCTCTCTCTCTTTCTCTCCTCTTTCGCCTCACCCTCTCCCCTTCCCTGTATCGATGCAGTTAAATCACTGTCCAGAGATTCGGCGAACGGCTAAATAGGATTGTGAAAAGTAATCAGTTCCGCGTATTAAAGTGCGTGAATCATTCCCGTATCTGTTTCGGGGAAAACGAGCTTTTTGAAAGTTCTATTTCAGAATGATTTAAATCTAAAAGCGAGAGAGAGAGAGAGAGAGAGAGAGGGGACTAATGAGAAACTACGGACGACAAATGGACCAGCACGATGATTTTCCGATGATAAAATTAATAATTATTGCCGAGAACATCCGAAATATCGCGAGCGCTCGTTTTTACAAACCGTATCATAAACTCATTAAAGCCAACAATTATTTAATTTACTATTGAAATTACTATTGAAAGTTATTACGTGGTGGGGGGGAAACCCTGGGCGCAATTTGCAAACAATGATCGATAATCTTATCAAAGTGCGTTATGTATGAGCAGCAACGCGATCAAAACGTACTAGCAAATAAATAATTTCTTACGCTCAGGTTTGGCCGTTTAATTAGCGCTCTCCGCCGACTGATCATATATTTAGACATGCAATCGTCGGGCATTAAATAACAAGATATCATTGATTTTACAAGGCTATAAAAAACAAGCGGTTGTGTAAGCGCGCTTGTATATCATCGATTGCTAAATAAAAAATACACAATGTAGCCTTGACGGCAATTATATCAGAGGAGACTCCTCCCACGCGTTTCTCCCGACACATCGTCCCCCACATGTGTGTGCATCTGCAGTAATAAACAATACTTTATCCGACGATTAATCTGCACGTGGATGACCCGTCGATTCGACGCGCCTAGGTGGCGTCGGGCACTTATCCTTCGTTTCGCCGCGAAACAATCTTTGCGAATTCCATTCTTTTTCTCTCTATAACTCCTGGATACTCCACGCGATGATGATAAATCATCGTACGTGCAGACCGAAGCGCGCCCACGCAAAATTCCCCGCGCGAAAATGTAGTACGCGACTCTAATGAAATATCTTAGCTCCCTCCGTTAACGATGTGTCAGATACTTGGCCTCGTTAATTAAGCGAATGCTTAATTAAATGGTTATATTACGCGGGCATCGGACTGGGACGTGTCTGACTCGTGTCTGACGAATAAATTTATTCCACGGGCATACGTAATTATAAACCGAACGGGGGGGAAAGATCTGCGGTGATTCGACCCCCCTGATCGGGCTGAGATGATAAAGTAGTTGCCCGCTAAGCGACTCCACTGCGGCATTCAAAAAATTGTTTCGTTGCTCGATTCCGTTACACTGTGGGATCCGAGATCTTGATGAGGAATGAATAAATCTGCGGTTTAGGAGGAACAAAAGTTTTATTTTGCGCATTTGGCTCGTGAAATGGATAGGAATGTTCACGCTTGTCGTTTCATAATTTTATATAACAATTTGATACATAAACAGAGCATACATTGTTCAATACAAATACGCAATTATTTTTAGTAAATCGCACGTACCGCGGTTTCACACCTTGTAGAAACTTTGAAATGAAGAGTTTGGCGTAACAACATGCCAGGTGCGAGAGAGGCATGAAGCTCTCTCTTCATTTGTCTTTACACGTTCGATTATGGTCCCGATGTGGAAGTCTCGCGGTTTTTCTTTTCAATAACAATATATTACGAATTAATTTTTAAAACTGCCGAGAAAAGGCCATTGAGTTTTATCAATGAGACGGGTTTTCGTTTGACGGCTTGGCATGTCATTAGATCAAGCTCCTCGTATACATTGAAACATAACGTAACATATGCGTCTGGTTACGCGCCTGTAAAATTAGGGGAATTAAATAAACTTTGTCAGATTTGCGCGCTAACGTTAAACTAATAACCACGTGCAAACAGAAGAACGGCGCAGTTGTGATAACAAGAAACGCCTTTCTTTGTGCCCAATAGTTTATTTTTGCAAAATAAGTTGACATATACAATGAGATAGCTTAGCGATTGTTAGAAATAAATGTCTGTAAGAAAAACCCTCCGCATGTGTTGTCTTCGCATTACATGTAATGAGCGCAATAACTAGTATTACTTTCGACTTATATTGAAAGGAAGAGATGTTTACTGTTTAGTAGGAAATTGCAATGTCGTAGCTTATAAAATATTAAAACAGCCTCGGACGTTGAAGCTTATTTCACGCCCCCTCATCAATATCCGTATCAATTTCTCTCTTATGCATTACGTTAAAATCTTCACACTAACCCTCTCATGCGCAATATCGACTCTCTTAACAATTAGAATTAAATAGAAAGTATCGCAACAATTTTTGCACAGTTACCGAAATAATTCTCTGAAGATCGTGAGCCTCTTGGAAAGAATCGCGTGGCATTTTCAGTCCACAATGTTTCCGGTTAAAACTGAATTAAAAAAAAAAAAGAAACAGTTAACACACGAACGTGTTTCATGAATTATGATGTCCGATTAACTTGCGCATGAAAGAATTAATTTTTGTCACTCGCGAATACGACATAGAAGGACGGACGCATGTCTTAGCGGGTCCATTTTGCATTTATTAATTACATAAGAAAGACCGTAGCCGTTCGTGTCATTTCTTTAGCACCTTCAACGCTTTAACCTCGAGTAGCTTGTAGATTTCTGCAATCGAGTGTCGTCCTGTACTTTCACATGAACAAACCAGACGTCGTCTCTTCCCGCAGAAACAATTGTGCGTATATTTCGCAAAATATTTTTCGCATATTTCGTAAAATTAATATAACAATATGATCGTCGATCACTGATAAAGCTCCTATTAAATCTCTATACATTAGTCTATATCTGTGAATTGCAGGATGAGTCATGCAGTTGAGACGAGTTGTAATTCTTATTTCGTCAAAGAACTGAATGATATAAAATATCTTCCTTATAAATAATGTATCCTTATACAAACAAGAATGCGTCAGAAAAATGCAATTATATATTTTAACGGAGTATTTTTTTTTACATAAATTGATTCGTATAAACACTTTGCGTACAACAACACTGAGATAAGATTATTAAGAATTAATAGTCTGCGAAATATTTATACTCTATTGTAATATATTTCGATATAAAATATTAAATATCTCGTAAAGTATTCATTTTTTAATTATCTCGCTCTAATACTTGTATGCAAGTAATGAAATAAATCTAGTTGCTTTAGAAAACAATACAATATATAATTTGCAATTATATACAGCTACGAAGAGTAGTTCTACATTTTCCTTACGTTTGACCCCGCAGTTAACGAGAATTGCAACTCATTGTAATTGCATAAATCATCCTGTATAAAAATTCAACATAATGTTAGACTATTTAAGATAAGATAATATTTATTAAGTACGCAACGCGATCACATATTCAGCGATTAATGAAGAAACCAACAATCTTCATTTTGAATATATATATATAAACGTGGAGCAAAAATATATAGAATATACAATATATATGCAATTTTTAATTTATGAAAGTCAAAACTATATATCGTATTAGGATAATATATTAGCATGTGTTGTCTTTAAAATTTGTATAAATAAACAACCGCGCGATCGTGCCGCTCCGATCGTGTGAAAGCTCGTGTTCCATATTTTTCAAGAACACGGCGAATCCTTGACGCACGTTTAACGGTAATAAGATAATAAATCTTACGGAGAGATAAAATATAACGTGCAATTAAATCGATCACTACCGTAACATTTCCTGTCTCGTTCCTCCTCGACTTTGCATTATGCATTCGGACGACTTCTACTTTCGCAGTTGTAATACATTTCGAGCCTAGATCTACGATAATCCGCTAAATCACGTTCTATCGGCAATTATCTTATGTCGCAATGGAGACTTTTAAATATTTAGGGAAAAATAAAAGCTTCCTCTTCAACATGCAATAATAATGATCACGTTCGAAGACTTTGCCTCTAGATCGCATTTCCGACCACGCGTACGTGGATGAGAAATGGCAACAATCAGCGTCGAGTGATAGAGACGGGGAATAATGTTTCCAGCTCGCAGTAAAATGAGGGAATAATCGCGCGCTGAGAACCGCGCTTTATTTAAATACCGAGATACGTTCTTCGCACAACTGTAGGCTGAGAGGGGGGTCATCGAAACGCGCGATATTGCGTTTCTGTAATGTTAGCGTCGCCGTGTCGGCTAAGCGCCTCGAACGTGATTCCGATCGACAAGGTTCTGTCGCGTCGAAAGGATGATTAAACATTTAATCGTGGACAGGAAACATTTCCAAGGTCTTGACCCATTTGTGTCCCATCGTGGCAAAACTCTACTGTCCGCTCCCCGGACGATATCCGTACACCGAAGTAGATCTCGCTTTGATTTTCTCACGGAGCGAAGTGTGTAAATGTAGCGGCGGTAGAGTGGGAAGGGTATTTGCGAAAATTGGAAAGATATCCGACACGAGGGGGATATTCTCCGGGTATATACAGGCTGAGAACATTCAATTTCACATCGTGAAAACTCACGGCAAAGCATCGCAAAAGCCAACATTCGATAACGTTTATAACATTCAACGCAATCATATAAAATCTGAAATATCATTAACGTAATGCTTCCCTCTCAACGTAGTTATACACAGATTTAAACGCTCGTCGACCCGCGGGCCGATTCGATTCGTCTTAAACTATTTTGGCACTAGAATCCACGTGATCGTTAGGTTTTTTTTTTCTTTCTTTAAGCGTCGACTCGACATCCTGAAACGCCTATGAAGCTAATAAAAAATCTTTAACATCGGTGTATGTGTGCGCGCGCGCGCTTAAATGTACGCGCGTCAACGTCAATACCTAACGTTTATGTGCTTTCATATTACGCGTGAACCTCGTTACATGTATATACATTCGATGTGTATATGCGTACACTGACCTGTTTACTAAATACAGATGTTTAGAAATGTAATGTCTTACGCACTAAGGTACTTACGATTACTACAATGTTTAATATTATTATGGGCGAGCGATGCTCGAGTGGCTTATCCCGAATCGAGAATGTTAATGAAGTCGTAGCAGCTACGAACCGAGACTCCGAATTTTAATCACGCACACGCGCGCGCATGTCTAGGAAATTAATTTTATTTATTGGCGCCCTTACGGCACTGAAACTGTACGAAATTTAAGGGACTTGTCTACTCTTCAAGCTCCTCTCTTTAAAACCATCGGTTTGAAATATCTAAGAAAGTATTGACGAAAAAAACAATTTAAATTGTTGATTTGTAAGCAGCTAATTTTACCGTCGAAGAGTGAAAAGTGCTAACGCAATTTCGCGAAAGAAATTTCAAGCGCGACTACGCGCTCTTAACGAAGAAATAGAAAATGTTGATTTGTAAGCAGCTAATTTTACCGTCGAAGAGTGAAAAGTGCTAACGCAATTTCGCGAAAGGGATCCCGAGCGCGACTACGCGCTCTTAACGAAGAGATAGAAATTAGAGAAAGATTGAGTATCGCATATGTATATTTTCTAATACCGTTAATATCAATTTCACGAGATATATGACTACGTCACTATCACAAGTCGAGTGATGCGCTGTTACGTCTACGTGAAATTACGATGAAAAAGGGTTTCTTATTCGCAATGCTCTTTTGATTAGCTCGTGATTGGCATACGTTACGCTTAACAGTAATCATTATTTGTTTGTTTCAGCTGCGAAAAGTTCTCTTAGCTCCAACTAAATAGCATGGTCCATATTAAAGACAAGTTTATTCATACTTTAAGTTACATATGGCGAAATAAGCGCTTTCTTGAATTATAATTGTAAAGGAAACCTAACTGCCGATCAGTGTGTCACACTACCCGTTAAATTCGCCAAAGGAAAACATATTTTAACCGCAATATCATGCGTAGAGTGTTCTTGCCGGTAACCGCCAATCTTTCCCTCTTTGATTAAATTGCTTACATATTAATACGCTAATTTCTTACGTTAAATCCACCTCGTCGCATAGAATTTGCGTAGGTACACGTCTATTCGGTTCAAATCTGCGAGATCGTTGCCATTTGCTGAAATAAGTGGTCGTGATATAATATTCGCTACGTCGAGTAACATAATTCCTATACCATTAGTACACCATTGACCGTGTGTTCGCTGCATTTTTTTTTTTCAGTAATCCCTGACTAACATCTTTCGTTGCAATTTATCCCGAGGATGCTGCGTCCCGACGACTCAGTCGAGAAACTGACGACGACGACGAGGGGAGCGGGACGGGGGGTTCTTCCTTGATTGGCGCGCGCATTAACTCTCCTTCTCCTCGATCGGACTCACCTCGTTCTGCAGCAGCTCGAATTTCGGGCTCAAGCTCGGCAGCATGCCCCTGGTGCTCGTTTTGATTTGACTGTACTTATTGTAGATGTCCAGCGACTTCTTGCGATCCATCTCGAGCGTCTCCTCGATCAGCCGCGGCGGGATGCTGCCCGCTCGTTTGTGACTCGGCACGAAGACGCTGCCTTCCGGCTTGCGCGCCGCCGTCCTGTCCCCCTTGTGTTCCGGCGTCAGCGTGCCGTTACCCAGTTTACGCTGCTGTTCCTGGAACGCGTCCTCCTGAACGTCGTCCTTCAGCAACACGCCGGTTATCACGGGCTTGCTGTTCTCCGTCTTGCTGGCGAAGTCGTTGCTCAGAGCCTTCTGCTCCATAATCTCGAGCTTGTTGGGCGTGGTGCCGTTCACCTGGAGATTCGGATTCGATCGCACGGTATCCGGGAAACTGTCGATATCCAACGAGTCACCCCGTACCACCGAGTTGACAACATCTTCTAGGGACGACATATCTTTTGATTTCCCGAAGAACTCCTGCTGAAAGGAAACGAACATCTCCCGTGTTACGAGGATTCTTTCTGATCGAGCTATGTGCAGAGGGAAAGTCCCCTATTATGAGGTAAGCTCCTAACACGTGATAGCGGAGTTTCTGCTAAATTAATAGGCATCATCTGTTGGTCCCACTATGCATTTATTGCCCTTGGAGCGAAATCTGTTCAGTGGAAAATCGATTGGTAGATCGCGTAATCGTTGCGTAAGAAAGATCTGTGGTTAAATTTGGACGTTGAAAACTGACTATCTCATATTCCTATCGTATAATAGAGGACTTTTCCCTATACGTATTGCGAGAGAGATTTCAAGTATAGATTAATGTCAATGTCAAAGAAATTTGTTAACATTAACAATTCAAATTAAGTAGCGAGTTATTTGTTTAAAATGTAAATTGTAAAATTGGCAACAGCATGTAAATTGTAAATTATAAAATGTAAATCGGTAACAAAACCTTTTTTCAGTCGTAATTAAACTCATTTTAACGGAAAAAATTATGACCGAGTAATCCACGGTTGAAAGAATAAGCGTTGTTAGCTTAGTAGCCGACGCAATTGCGAGAAACTCTTCTCCCTTTATTTTACAGGTGTCATAATTAACGGCATAAGCGACAATTGCATACAAAAGGGAGTGGATTGAGTAATCCCTTTGTTTACTTACGCTTTTGTCCTCCTCCTCCTCCTCCTCGCTAAAATTTCTGGAGTCGCCTAGCAGTATCTTTTCCATATCCGACGATTTATCGAACTCCACCCATTTCGACCGTCCCTCCAGCTTCCTCGACAGCACGTCGGACTCGTAGCTGCCACCGTACATGGGGTAACCAAGATGGCCGGAATCGTATTCGACTTGATTGCCGTAGCGGTAACTTGGATTAGCCGAACCCTGGCTGGATATCGAGAGGTCTGACTGCGACAGACCGGTGTTGGTGCTCCCAAACAGACGCGTATTTTCGAAAGCTGCGCGAGAAACGGCAAAGTAGAAGATAAATCGCAAAAGCGAGACGGTCTTACGGGGGGGAAAAAAACACTCAAGTTTTGAGTGTTAACACTCGATTGTCCGAATTTACTCTCGAAGGGCGTGAATATTTAAATCTGGACGTTTACGCCCGAATTTGAGAGTAAATTCGGACAATCGAGCGTTAACACTCAAAACTCGAGTGTTTTTTTTTTCCGTAAGGGTGAGACGCGCATCGCGAGAGTCATCACCTGAAGATCTGTCGTCCGGTATTTCCGCCCTGTGCACTAGAGCCTGTTGATCGGTGACACCGGTGGTCACATCATCGGACGACCCTTTGTTACCCGCCGTCTCTTCCTTGTCATAATCCGGCTGAACCTCCACCACAAACGAACACCCGCTGTCCTTGTATCTCGACGTGGGTTTGTTATCCTCCATCGTTACCTGAAAGCAAACGTAGCAAGAAATATTGTTACATAATTTCATTACATGATTTTAATAATGTAATATATATTTTATATTAATAATACAAAAGTACGCAATATTGCATAAATTATGAATTATACGTTATTATTGGGCTGCCAAGATCCGGCCTGGTCGATAATGTATTTTCTCTAATTAACTGTGTAATTATACCGTTTCCTCACCTCTATTCATATTAATATACATATATTCAGGCTATATAAAATACTTTACAGTTCTCTCTCTTGAGGCAAAGTGCATTACATTTGACGAGTACGTTTGAAATATTATTTTTTCAAGTAATAATCACGTAAAAGTAAATTTCTGCTTCTCGAAATTAAGAACAAAAAATTTGTACGTGCAAACGTAAGCGCCAGTTACTTAATGGCGAATAAGTTTGTCCAAAGTAGTATCTGGGGAAAAGTGAAAAATTAAGTATAACGCGAATTTCTTTCCTGAGCTCGGGATGATGTCCGATTAAATTCGAAGTTCATTATTCCGGTTCCAATTCTCCCACGGGAATTCGTGCGTATCTACTCGGCCCATTTTTTTTTTCGTTTTTCTTTTCCTTTTTAACACAGGCCCGAGTTACGGACCCGAATCGGCTCCACGCCTTTTCCTTGTTCGAAAGTCGGGGGCACTTTGTATAGGTGCGAGAAGAACGGATTGAATCAGAGCGCTAGCGGGGCATTTGGGGAGGTCGGGGTGGAAAATGAGGAAGCGCGCGGGGCAGACGTTAGAAGGAGGAAGGGGCGGGAGAGTGGATGTGCCGTGGTCAGAGAGGAAGAGGAAACGTAGGTGTCGGCGGACGATTTCGAGAATCCTCGACGCGAACGAACCTCCGCGAGTAAGACGAGGCGAGTAAGTGGGACGATAGGTGGGGGCGAAATTGCCCGGCAACCTCCGACCTTACCAGGGTCGGCCAAGTTCGATAATTACGAATCTACTCCCCGGCCCGAAAACGAGCCAGTCTCTGACCCGGTTATCGCCGGCTCCGCCGACGCCGGGAGTCTCGCTGCGGGCGCGCTTCGCGGTCTCGTTTCGATAAACGTGGCCGGGAGGGAAAGAGATTTATATATACGCGAGCGACGTTGCGGCGACAATGCGCCGGAAATTTCCCGTAACGACTTACGTACCGCACGTTCCTCCGTCTCCACAATAAGATGGTTGTGCTTGAGCGTAAGGGTGATGATGTTCCCGTTCGCGTTCTTGCTGATATGATTGCCGGAAGTGGCGGTGTACTCCATCACCGCCGCCGCCGTCGCCGCACCCGGGGCAACGTTAACGTCCTCCATCACCTCCGTTTCGCACATGTATCGGGGTACGTCTAGGCCGTTCACCAACTGAAATGCACACGAGTTACATTCGCATGATAGAACACGCGCGAGGAAATCCGGAGGAGGACAGAACTCCGTTTCGCTCGTCAGCTCTGCGCGCGCGGCGCGAAATCCTGACGTAAGGACGCAAGAAAAAACGGCGAGACGAAACTTTTTTTCTTTCTTCGTCGATTATTAAAGTGCAGAGCATCGGTCTGCCTCTTAAGCGCGCGATTTTGCATTTATAAACGACTTTTCGATGCTCCGTGTACTCTCCCTTATAAAGTGCAAATTGAAAACGTTTGGCTTGGCGCATAAACAACTCTAGGAGATTAAGGCTCTAGGAATAAAGAGCCTTTTTTTAAACCTTTTTAAGCCCCTGCAGGGTTCAAATGAGCAAAGAAGCATTTTTTAAAAATATTTTTCAAGAATCCCTTATAAGCAGTCATAATTTTAAAAATATATTCTCAGAATGCTATAAACGATTTTTCGACACTCTCTCTTATAAATTCCGAACTGAAAACGGGATGCTGTGCGCATAAAAAATTCTAGGAGATTAAGGACCTAGGAACTGAGACCTTTTCTAAGCCCCAGCAGGGTGCAAATGAGCAAAGAAGCATTTTTCAAATATTTTCTTTGAATCCCTTAAGCAGTCATAGTTAAAAAAAATATTCTCAGAATGCTATGAACGATTTTTCGATACTCTCTTTTATAAATTCCGAGCTGAGAACAGGCGACTGTACACATTCTAGGAGATGAAGGACCTTTTTTAAGTCCCTGCGAGGTTCAAATGAGTAAAAAGCATTTTTAAAATATTTTCTTAGAATCCCTTAAGCAGTCATAGTTAAAAAAAAACTTATTCTCAGAATGCTATGAACGATTTTTCGATACTCTCTTTTATAAATTCCAAACTGAGAACAGGCGGCTGTGTACATAAAGCATTCTAGAAGATGAAGGACCTCTTTTAAGTCCCTGCAAGGTTCAAATGAGCGAACCTCCACATTCAAGTGTTCTCAGAATGTTGCGAAAAGTTGCGCGTTCAAGGGTTGAAAGGTAAGTCAAATCTTCGCGACGATGAGAATCATCTATCAGAGGCATTCTACGTCCCCTTTAAATCCTTCTTTTCTCTTTCTATTAAAATCCTACCGGATTTCGTCTACATTCGGAATAGAAATCGGGGACGCGCCGCAAAACCACGAGAACCTCGGCGGCCCGCGGACACCTCGCAGGACGGCGTGATTTTTTGGCGATGCCCGTGAGTGTGCCTCCTCGCGCAGGATACGGGAGATTTAGTTACAGTCGATGCGCGCGAGGCTGTCCCAATTTACGAAACGCGCGCGAGAAGGGGGCGGGAGGGGAGAGGAGGGCGGCAGAGGCAGGCAGGGGCGGGAGGGGGAGGGCCGGGGAAGAGGAAAAGAAGAAGGCAACGTCTCGTTCAGTTTTTTATCTATCGCGTCGCGAAAAGGCCATCTCGCATGCAAGTAGGTGTTCGCGTGTACGGCGTTCACCTATACGCGCGCAGATGCATGCCGGTTACGTCGTTCTCCGAGTGCCTTGTGCCAAAGGGTACTGAACCTGACCCAAGGGGCATTGCTCTTGCGCTGCGTCTCTCCGTTCCTTTTCTGTTAGATCGCTACACACACCGGTCGTCACGTTAGCCAAAGCGAGCAGGTATCATTGCGTGGCCCGACTCGGTACACGCGGATGCCAGCCGAAAATACGCGCCGCGCAACACGGAGAGCGTATGGATACGTGCGCGAGTTATTATCGCGCGCGCGCTCGCTCGCGCGCTCGTCTCTCCTTTAAAAATCGGCTTGATGAAAAAACCCCTATGACACGTTCACAGCCACCTGTTCCAGATCGGAGCCCGCTACGCCGTAGGCCGCGAGGAAATTTTATTCAAAGCGCACGCGGACCGTCACGAAACGGATTTTTCCCTCTCTTGCAAAAAGCCCCGCCGCAGAACCGCCCCTTTTTAAGTACGAGCGACTTTGAACTCGAGAAATTTTTATCGAGAGAACTGGGAAACCTATTTCTCCACGCTCTCGACTCTGGCCCCAGCCTTTTTCCTCCTAACCCTTTCATGACCGCTGGGACATATCAGTCTCACTTACATTTCTTGCCTCTCTGGCTTCTCGGGAGCTGCTGGTGTCCCATTGGAAAAAAGATAATAAACGAAAAGTATAATTCAATCGTAAGGTTCTAAAAAGAGAAAGTTATTCGAGAAAGTTATCAGAAAGCTCATCCGGTCCCTAAAGCTTGATGCATCAATCGGTTTTATTTACATACGTTTCAAGTCCATCGGCACGTGTCGCGAAAAAGAGAACATACAGTAGATGAGTTTCGGCCAATTGTTCCGTTCGATATACGCGGCCTTTCACCTTTGCCATAAATCGGTCAGCCGATTAGAGAGACGTACTGATCACAGTGTTTGCATATTTTAACCTTTAGAGAAAAATTGCATCGCGAATTGGCAATGGATACAGGGCGCATCTAACAAAAGCAAGAAGCATTACTAAATAAATTATCGAAAGAAAACTGTCACTTACAGTCGCCAGTGATGATTAAACATTAAAACGGTGAGCTTATTGTCAACCCAACTGGTAAAGTTGATTGAATTCGTTACGATTTGTAAAGAATTCAATTAAAATTTGCCAGCTGGGTTGACAATACGCTCACCGTTTTAATAAATAAATTATTACGTTAACGCAATCTTGTATGAAAGAGAATCGCAAATTTGTTACTAAAATCAAGCACGATCGATATTAGACGATATTTACTAGATAAGTGCTTACTCAACGTTAATTTGTTCAATTAAACGACCCTGTGGTCGCTTTCTGTAATTCTGTAATTAATTGAATTTCCGATTCCCGCGCGTGTCTTTGTAATGGAGACTAATCGTTCCGAAATACCAGCCGACAAATTACGGAAAATTGGCAGATATCACGGCCGCTGCTATAGATGTAAATCCGCGCGCACTTGTGTGGGATCGCTTGCATTACGCAGGCTATACGAGTTCGCATCGGGTCGTGGCCAGGCCGCCTCTTCTAGCGGACGTCCAAGTACTAAGCACTCAAGGACATTCGCCGCTTTGCCGTCTGGTTTTTTTTTTTCGCTAACACCGTTAGAGGTTGCAGACGGTCACGACGGATGGAGGACGTTTGTAGGCGAACGTTCTATATACAATGCCAAACATGACGTAGACAAATGTAATTTCGCGATAGAGTCTTAATTGTCTCTGAATATATCGACGAATAATCATCGTACATCGACAACTGGTTGCTATATCGTGTTGAAAAACTTTAGCACTGAGTGCACTAAACAACCATTGATTTCGAAGTAACGCTAATTTCGTAATTGTTTTACGAAAATATCGATTTTTAAGGGCTAAATTTCTTGAGGCGAGATCAATGCGGTTAATTTGAAAGATGTTCGGTCGCTTAAAATTAACTTAGACACTTTAATGAAGCGAGAACTCTTATGAATATGTGAATTATTAAAATCGTATATAAAAAAATCAGCGAGCAACATAGTGCAATTACATTCCTCTAAGTTGCGATTATTACTTCATTCGTGTTAAAATTTTCTTGTCGACTGAAAGAAACGACGGCGAGAGGCGAGGAGGACAAGGCGGATCGTGCGGAATTGTATAGCGAATGGAACGTGCGTTAGTTGAAGTACCCAAAAGTAGCGTGGATATTCGATTCGTGACGCATCTTTTAACGATACCGTTAGAGGTCCCAGACGGTCAAAATGGTCTAGTCTCGCTGTAGCAAACAGACGTCGGCCACGAAACGAATAGATAACTACGAGCTGGATAAAAGTGGCCTTGAATTATCACGGCGTCTAAAGTAGTCTGAAATCTGATTGCATATCCTCACGGTGCCTTTTCGGCCGATTAAAATTGTAGAATAAATTGCCGTCGTTTAATCAAATAAAAATATGATATTTTATTGAGAAAATATCAGCGAAAGGAGAGTTTGCTTATTGCCACCAGTGAATATTAAACTTACAAGAGAGAGAAAAAGGGGGAAACATACTAATATGAAATTAAACTTGTTAAAATAAACACAAAGGCACGACAAACAAAATGTCGAAGAGTGTATTACATAATTTCACAGTATCTCCTTTCGTAAAAATTTGCTATTTCCTTTTATAGAACAGAAAATAGTCATGACTATTTAATTGGTGATATTATACTATCGAGCTCTCTGTTGCTTTAGAAGACTGAAAACTTCTTTAAAATTATACGTGCATTCGTGATTAGTAGATGTTAAATGTGAAAGGCTAACCAACGGCAAAACGTGATATTTCGTCGTCGAGGTCAGGCTCTAATGCGTCATTGGTAATTGATTGTCGAATGTTTGATGCACCGAAGAAGAAAAAAAATTACGATCTTGCCGTAAAGAATTTTTAAGCTTCTCCGACGTAATTTGCATATCTCACATTATTTCCGCGTGCTGTCTGTATTGTTATTTACATTAAAAGAGTGGACTTGTTTACTTTTAAATTTAAAAAAAAGACCAGTATTTTACTTTACTCCTGCGATTCCAGACTTAACGCTAAAAGCTGCAAGCGATATATTCTTTTAAATTGACAGCACTACATGACGAAAGTTAAGACGCCATAAAGCTGTGAGATTATTTATGATATGCAAGACAAACGTGACAAAAGCAGTTTTTCTTTTCTCCTCTGAGATAAATAAATATTATTCAAAATAGCTTACGTGTGCGTTTTTAAATTTCAATCCTTTGTACTTTAGTTTGTTTCATGACGCATTTTTCATTTCTTAGAAAGGAGAACAGTAAGAAATACTGCAAATAGAAGAAAATATTGAACGAGACGAAATTATTAAAGTCGGCAGTGTTTATTATATTTCGAGACGAACATGTCCGCGTTTTCTTTCTCTCGGAGCGCTTAAATATTAATGTCAATCACTTTGGATGCTCATGCAACATTTATAGCCGACGGCAGTTTCAGAAAAGACAGCCATAGAAGATACGAAATGGCTACTCGAATTTGTTTGA